ATATGCCACTTATCATCCGTTTGGGCAATGTCTGATCACATATAAGTCTGTGGTCAAGGGCACACAGGAGTCTTGAGTATCAGGATGTCAGACCAAGACCTTGAGGTGGTCCCACTTCTGCTTAATTTCTTGTTGTACCCAGAAACCTCCAACCTATAGGCCTCAACAACCAACCTCAAACCCCTTTAATTTCACAACTTGTTGAGTCTAATCCCTGCATTTTGCCCCATGTGGTCCTGTGGAACACTCACAGACAGGTGCGTAGTTGGAACATCCCAACCCCAGTGTGGGTACCCTCAGTTCCCCTGGCTCACACCATCCTCTCCTCAGGCAGGTTTTCACGGGTGAGCTGGCCTTCACGGCATCTGGCTTTGCAGAAGAAGTGATAACCTGGCATGACCTGTCCAAGTGTTCACCTGAGACATCGCAGCACAAGCCCCCCGAGGGTACCCAGGAGCCCTGCACCCTTTAGACACAGGTATCTGCACAATGTCCAAGTCACAGGGTGTCCTCCCTAGTCCATAGGAAGCATCATGGATACTAAGCAGGGCAAATATGGATAGTTTTTCAGCTTCAGTCCTTCTATTAAAAAAAGAATCCCGAGTGATATAAATGGCTACCTGATTACTAACTAGAAGTTGATGGTTCAAGTCCATCCAGCCATATCCTAGGCCTGGTGATCTATCTGAAAAGCTTACCACAAAAACCCCTGTGGAGCACAGCCCCAGTCAGCAGATGTGGGGTTGTCAAGAATTGAAGATTTATCACAGAAACTTTTGCATTTCCTAGAGCCCTCGTGGTCTGCATGGCAAGGAGTTATGCTGCCCACCCAGAGGCAGGCAGATTGAGTCCACCAGCTTTTGTGAGGGAGAAACAAGGATCTCTTCCTTGGAGATTTATACCCTCTGAAAAACTACTGGAGGGTCAGCTATGAGTTGATTCTGACTCCACAGAAATGAGCTGTTTGTTTGAAAATACACATTTCTCTCATGTACAGGAAACATTTAAAAAAAACTTTAATTTATTTATTTTTCATTTCAATGAACATCTACAGAGATTTTGGAATTCTATTCATTCATTGTTGCACCCTTCTCCCCGCCCACCCCACCTCACCCCCCTCCCCCGTTTGCTCCTCTCCTTGAAAAGCAAAAGAAAAACTCCCTCATTGGTACACAATCACCCCCGC